TAGCATCCTGTAACTGAGTTTCAGTGAACAACTATTTTGAAGCAGGAGTTATAAAGACAGGTACAATTAACAGATTAAAGATGTACATCTTTCCTTGGGATGGAAATAGTAAAAACCTTGCCCTGTTCTGGGCAAGCTGGAGGCACTTTTTCAGTAGTGTGACTAAATATCTGGTCTTCTAAATGTACTCCTACACCAGCCACATCATTCTTTTGAAATCCTATTGCAGAAATGAATCAGGCACATATTGAAACACAGCTGAGAGGAAGCTGAAGTAGCTAAACCTTTGAGAAGTTCATCCTTACACGCAGAAAAAGGTTCCAACGGGTAATCCATATGGCTGGTGCTGCCCAGCTCACAGAGGCAGACCTAGAGGCTGCTGTGGTTGATGCAGTGCAGCATCCCGGGCAAAGTGAACTTACCGCGATCTTCCCAAGGTCGATGCCGTAGTTAAGTGCACTCCACGAACACTGTTTGAAGTTGGGTGTCCAGGACTCCTCGATGCTCTCACGCATGCACTCGCCCTTCTCCCCTTTCAGCCCATCCCGTCCTGGGATTCCAGGTGTCCCAGGGATCCCGTTGGCTCCTGGGTTTCCATCCCGTCCAGGAACGCCACTGGGGCCTTGCAAGCACATGCCATTATACTGAAACACAGAACAGACCTTGCTGCTTCCATCCCTTGACTCCCTTGGCAAACCAAATAAAATGCAAATGAACAACAAAACACAAAACCCCTGCCGTGCCACAAGTTAATGGGCTACTTCTGCATCACCAAGAAAATGATTCCATAGAAGAGGAAAATAGAAAAATGAGTTTTCAAAGATAAGCACCACCAGCAGAATTTGCTGTATATTAAGATGCCATTTTGTTATGAAAAGATACATAAATCCTAGAATTAAAACTTTACCTAGTCCAAGAATTAAAACCTGTTGGAACACATCAGAAGAGTCAAAACATTTCAATACTGAAAAAAAAGTCATATGTTAATTCTTTCTCCTAACCCACCATTGCTTGTATAATTGTCTCTGCTAATAAGATTTCATTATTATTTTTCCTTTTTTTTAAAACAGAGAAAATTTTTCATTCCATAGAGTGCAGAGGTTAACGCTGGCTTTCTTTCCTCTGTCGCTGCTCCTCTGGGACAGAATCACGTCATGATAGTCAAGCCCCACAAGTCAGGCTCCAGGATGCACACACATCAGTGGTGATGCAGATGTGGGAAGCTGCACCCTGGAATAATCCTGAAGTCAGGATTCCCCCATAACAGTGGGAAGGCACACATGGGAGGATGCACAATGCACAGTAACATCCTTCCTAACATCACAATATTATGAAAGGTCAAGTGTTGCTCTCCCAAACTGCACATTAACACGTTGCCTTCCTACTTTATGAAATTTGGGGTTGCCCTTCTTAGAGAGTAGGTTTGGGCTCCTTCCCCCAGCAGCCTGAGTGCTGGGATGCGGGAGGAGCACTGGTGTCAGCAGGCACGGAAATGCTGACCAGGAACCTGCAGGGTCTGGTGGTGGCTTCTACTTCAAATGCTCTTTCCCATCTGGTGACTGACTGTTTGATCTAGCCTTCATCCCAAATCTTCACAGATAACCATACTCTGCTCTTCCACTTTCTCACACTTTTTCATCTTCATCTTCTTTAAACCACCTAATCCTCCTCACCTGTTTCAAAAAGAAAGAGTGCTGCAACTATTGCCCCTCCTGCCAGCCATGCCCCTGTCTGCACTGCAGGAGCTGTAAACTACAGCCCCTGCCCTCTCTCCTTTGTCATACTGGTGAACTTTCTTAGTCTGATGTTGTGCCTTTTCACAGGCCTTGGTGCAAAAACCAGCATAGCTATCACAGGCTTGGCTGGAGCTGCAAAAATAAATCAGTGACTACATGGAGAGGTCTAGTAAGAAGTAAGACGAGAGCTGGACTAACAGTTGCTGGCTTTCCCTTACTACCTTCACCAAAGAACACTGGTTGGCTAAAAGCAGTGGAAACAGTGGAATATTTTAATCAAGAAGGCCACTTTTTAGAAAAGTTAGCTGAAGAGGAGACTGGTTGGTAAAGCACACAGTGACCCAGGGGCCATTAGAATGATGGAACGGCATTTCTATTTCATGCAGCACTGGTTATCTGCTTTTGCTGCTGCTTTCCCATTGGACTCTATTTGTAACAGTGACTGGCTCCTTCTTTTGCATGTGGTTACTCACCACAGAAGTCCTGGATGTGGAAATGGGCAAGAGCTGGGGAGTGGCCAAGGCTCAGGCCCGTTAACCCTCCCATCCCCAGGGACACCACAAGGGGCTGGGCTGCCCTGACAGAGGGCCTGCCACCGCGGTGGCCAGAGCTGCACAGCAGCCTTCCACGGAGAGCAGCTCAGCCATTGCACACCCCAAAAAATTGATGTGAGCACAAGAATTACCCAGGCTTTGGGCTCCATTCCAGCTAAAGTCATCTGTCTTGCCAAATAAAGTCTTTTTCATGCTTTCTTAAGCTGGAGATGCATAAAACATATTTTAAAATGTCTGCTGAAGGCAGGATCCCTTCTTGAGCATACCTTCACTCTGTCCTGGCATGGCTTTAGCTGAAGCAGTCTGTACAACCGGGCGGTGCCTGAGTCAGCTGCCATTGATTTACCTGCGTTTTGTTGCTCATTTTGTTACACCCAAAAGCATGGAGCAATGCCAGAGAAAAGAGAGACCCTCAAATATTGCTCCAACAGAAAATGTAAGCTCCTCCATGTGTACAGACTCCTTATTCTCAATACAATTCAACTTTCACAATGAAAGTGAAAAGGCAATGAAGTGGTGTGAAAGGGAAGGAGCTTTGCCTATAAGTGGTGTTTCCAGCACATCACTTTAGGGGATCTCTCTGAAGATCATGAAAAAAACGGCCATGCCACTGATTTTCTATAGGAGGTGAACAGCAGTCCAGCAGTTCACAGAAATACCTTCACATCTGCTTTCTACATACCAAGGACTGGAAAATCTCCCTCCTCTCAACTATCGCTGAGATAGGATAGTCCCAATGCATTCAGGTTTCTAGTTGCAGAGGAATTTCAAACAGACATGCAGTCTCCACAGCCAAAGCGAGTAATGCATTCACACAACTCCAAGGAAAAGTGGGTTCCGGAAGCATGCAGATACAGTTTTCAGGGTGTCTGCTGAATAGCAGACCTTTTTTTCGTTCTGTTTTGTACTTCTCTCATTATTATTTATGCACTAACCCTTTAGGAACTAAACAGCATTTACTGCTTCTGTTGGAAGGGCTGTAGGATTTCGGCGTTGCCCCCGCAGTGGCTGAGGGCAGGGTCCAGCCCACGGCGCTGCCTCGGGTCCCGCCGCGATGCCCCCCGGCGCCGGGCACGGCGGGGAGCGGGGGCTCCGCCGGCTCCAGCCGCCGCCCCGACTCTTGCCGATGGGGAAAACACCAACACACGCACCCGGCCGCCGAAAACCTGTGGTTTCTGTCAAAGCCCGTCTAATCCCTTCTCGGCATTTTCCTGATTCAGCACAACCAGGGCGTAATTAACAGAACTCAAGAGAGAAGTCCAGCGGCGCGGGACCAGCGCTGCCCTGCCCGGAGCGGCGGCGAGATTTTTCGAAACCCTCTGATTTTTCGCTTCTTTTCCCACATTTTGCAGCAAACAAAAGCGTCCGCGCGGATCCTCCGGCCGCCGCCCCCCATCCGCACGCGCCCCAGCACCTCCGTCAGCCGAGATCCCGGCCCGCTCCCGGCCCCGCTCCCAGCCCCCGGCGCCGCCGCTCTCACCACGTCCACCACTCCCGCTGGCGAAGCGCCTTCTGCTTCCCCTTGGGGCTGTCGGAGCCGGCGGGCGGCGGGGGCCGCCAGCAGCAGCAGCAGCAGCAGCAGCGCCGGCAGCAGCAGCGGCGGGGCGGCGGCGAACGGGGCGCGGGGCATCGTGCGGGGGCGCGGGGTGGGAGGGGAGGCGGGGATGGGCCGGGGGGAGGCTGCGGCGCAGGAACCCGTGTCCGCCGTCTGGGCGGCAGCGCGGGGATAAATGAGCCTTTCAGCGCGCGCAGCCCGAGCTCCCTCCCCGGGAGGCCGGGAATTTCCATCCTGTAACGGAGCGGGACGGCCAGGCAGAGCCATCCCCCCGCAGCCATTGGCACGGGGCCGGGGGCTCCCGCCCCCTCGGGCCGGCCCCGCCGAGCTTTCCCCGGGAGATGCTGGAGCCCCCGGGCGATGCTGAAGACCCCCGCGCCAGGCGGCGGGAGGGATGCGGGGACCCTCCCGGCTCTCCCGGAGCCCCAGGCAGCCCACTTCCAGGTCTTCAGGGATTTGCTCGGCAGCTGGTAACTCCGTTCCGATGAAGGAGCTGTTTCGGTAAGAAACCGCGTAACGCCGCAGCGAGAGCCTGATGTACGTGAGGGGAAATGGTGTTAAAACAGCAGCTGGGCATCAATCACAAATTTCATTGTAACAGAAGTCAAGGTAAGGACACAAAATCCTTCTGAATTGCAGCGGATTTTGGACTTTATTGAAGAACCTAGTATTGTCAGAGTGAACATTGCCAATCTAATAACAGGAGGAAAGTTCTTGGCAACCCCGCGTAAACCACCTCATTTTGCTTTAATTTAAAATTTATACTTTACTTTTTATCACACCAGAAATGAAAGCACTATAAAGAATGCTGTATATCCTCAAGCATTCAAAATAGAAATAACATATATTTAATAGGTAGCTTCTGTATGCTGCAAACCTTGTGGGATTTGTAGAGGTAAGTTTCCAGAAGGGGGAGATAAGCTTCAACACATTTTTTTCTGGAGTATTTAACAAAACCACACATTTGTCCTGCAGGAAAGAATGCCACAAGACATTGAGTCATTCACAATAGACTACACAGAACCAGATTTTTGTGTACATTAAACCCCTTCATATGGCTCTGCACTTACTTGTCTTTCTTCCCTTTCCTTGTCTATACAGGTGGAACAATAGCAGCGAAGTGAGATTTGCACCCCAGGTCAGTCACACTGCTGTCATCAACCCTGTCACATGGTGTCCTGAGAACTGGGACTGACATCAGCCACGTTGCTGAGGTGAGTGCTCCTATCTTGAGAAGAAGGGAAACAACACACCCAGCCAACTTCAAAAAACAGCTGGCAAATAATAATGGTTCCCTAAACCAGCTGGGAAAATTTATAAAATTATGTAAATCCATAATTGCAACAATCGCTTCAGTGACAGCCTCAGTCGACATCCATGAACACGCACACACAGAGGCTTCCTTGTGCAATCATGAGTCGCTGCCAGCAAACCCTCCTGGCCCGGGCTGGTGGCAATACTGTGAAGGTGGTAATGTTTGATTTCTGTGGCACCTGCGTGTTCACACAAGCATTGTTACCAAGGGCTGAGGATCCCCAGCATCAACACAGGCTGTTGCTAAGGCATGTACCTTCACAGGCTGCCAAACCTATGCATTACAGAATGAATTTCTTCAGGCAGCCTGCAGTAGCTGAAGCACACAGCACAGCAGCACTGCATACCTTCGCAAGACAGTTGCTCAGTATTTTAGAGAAAAAAATTTGCACGTGCATCTGTATGCATTTCCCCACCTGGGTTTGCTCAGCCATTAATTCAAGTGTGGGTTAGAAGCTTTGAAATCAAAATTACTTTGCCAGGGGAAGCAAACTGAGGAGTGCTGTAAAAGAATGTATTAGCAAACAATGTGGGACATCTTCTTTAAGCTCCAGTGAGAGCACTGTGCAATTCTTAGTTGACTTACAGCGTGTATTTCCATCTGGAAAACAGAAATGTCAACATCCTCCTTAGCCTGCATCAGTCCAAGCAAGCCTTGCCATCTGCTAGGTTTATGCTCTGTGGGCTTTTGATATATTTAAATGCTTCTGAGAACACCAACCATTGCTGAATGCTGGTGAGCTATTCAGATTGAGTCAGAACTATTGATCTACTTTGCCTTAACTATTTCCCAGATAAAAGGAGCTGTGGTAATAAACTTGCCTGAGCATCCTCAGACCATGATCCATGTTACATCAGCTAGTGATTCCTTCATCTTACCCATACTGCCATATGATATAGACTTTATATTTTATGTGGCCTTACAAACACATCAGAAAAGATTATGAGTTGCTACTTCTACCACTTAAATGTTGCTAAAATCTCCCAGATGGTCAATCTGCTCCTGCACAGCCTAGGCAGGCTCACACAAGGTCACTGTCAGCCTCTCACACATAACAGATGTTTACACCACAAGGCTGATGCCATGAGTGCAATCTCTCTGTTGCAGCTTGAGCTGTTTCCCCCTTCACATAACCTCTCACCATCCCAAAAATCCAGACACACAAGTCTGGAGAGGAGGATGTGCCCATATGCACACATGTTTCCATTCACCTCACATATTTAAATTCAAGGGACTGTCCACTGGGTCATTGGGTCTCTCTGCTTTTCCTGTGCAAACTATTCCAGTTTATGAATCCCGTTTGTTAGAGCGCTGGATGGAATTCAAACAGTAAATAATTGTTATTCAGTCCTTGGTCTTCACGGGGTGAAACAACTGCTGGGAACCAGGAAAACCAGGCTTAGGGGTCTAAATATTGCCTGAGGTTTAAGGCTGAGGATCCTGAGCCAAAAGAGGCCCAGTAAGGTAAGTGCCAATACCTGGACCTTTTGTCTGCTTTTAACTCTCATTGCTTTGTGCATTTCCCTGTTCTGGTGATGTCTGGGGATTTTGACTTTGGTTGGCAGCTCAATTTGTGCATAGCTTTGGGGAGCATGTATGCACCCCAGGGTAAGTAGCAGAGCTCAGGGGTAGCACTGCAGTGCTCAGCATCACAGCACTTGGGATCTCTGACGATCTATCCTCAGTGCTTTTAATTGTGGAGTTCATCATTTAGATCTTGTTCACGGTTACTGATATTTTAGGGTGAGTTGTAAGTTGGTGTAAAAGGCTGAGATCAGAGAAAATTTGGATTTCTCGAATGGCGATTTGCAGGCTGCCTGTCTGATCGAGGAGACAAAGAGCCGTCTGTACTGCTGTAGAAGAAAACCAAAGAACGAGCTATCGGGTAATTTATTACAGGTTTAAGAAATAGATTCCAGTTTCTTCCACAAAAAGCCTTTGGAACTGCATGAATATCAGTGGGATTGTGGCCTTGATCCCTTCTAACACCTTTTAATTTAAACATATGATATAGTATAGGATGTCTATTATTTTAAAATAATCCAAAACATCTCTCCCTCTGTTTTATTGCTATACCAGCACAGATACACCTATTTAAAAAAAATCTTCCAGTAGTTTCTACATAAAATGGTAAGCACTGTAGCCACAGCAGTGCTTTGCAGGTATACATATTAGCATTTGAATCTTAAAAACTCTTTTGGGGCCAATTTTTTAGTGGATTATAATACTCAGTGATGTCATGTTTCTGCCTGTAAGAAAAGCTTAAAAGCGTAAAATCATATCAATATTCTCTTTGTTGAGACTCTACACCTTCAGGTGATACTCAGGTCATGCTAACAGTTCCCTATGCAAACCATGAAAAAATAACTGATCATCTGAATACCAGCCTGAAAAGACAGGCAGAGGTGAGAGCATAATAATGGAGTTGTCCAAGAGGGGCAGAACTGTTAGGAAAGCATGTGCTCACCCTTCAGATGCTTGTCTGCTGAGGAGAATTCCTACATCCATATACAGACAGATGGCATTTTCTGAGTGTGAGAATAAATTCCAGGAGTTAAGCGTTAATTCTTTACTTCTGAATAAGCACATGGCAGATCTTAATGTTACTAGAGGTTATATTGTATATTTGCACAATAGAAAACATTAGAGAGAGGATCAATGCTTTTTATTATTCATATTAATTAAGTTTTCTATCAAGATTAATCCTTAACATTCTCTCCAACAAGTCAAGATGAGGACATAGGTCAAGTATCAGGAAGCTCAACTTACAGAAACAGCTCCTTCCATTGCCTGCTGGAGTTCCAGGCAGATCTGTTTTTTTCTGTCCAAGTCATCAGCTGACTTATAGTTGCATTTCTCTGCAGCTCTGTTACTACAATAATAATGGAAGCACCGAATATCTTAAACTAAACACCACTCACAGACAGTCAGACAGAGATAAACTTTAACAAAACTGTTTGGGAGAACAGTCTGCTCACTGATAAAGGATAACTCAGCACACACCCAGACATTTCCATAGTGTAAACATTATGATGAAAAGCCTGTACTGTTCTCATTGACTAGTGGTTGCAAATTTCAGACTCTGAAGGGGTCTGGTCTGTGCCTCTGCAAGTCTGCTCCCAAGAGCAGCTGGTGCAATCCCGGCTGCAGTCATGGAAACTTCTGGGTCTGAAGGGGCATCTGGAGCACATCTGGTTGAAGCAGGTCTGCTTAGACTGGGTTATTCAAAGACTTGTGCACGTGGTAGAATGGGAAAATTAATTCAGTGCAGTTTTAAGTTAAACTCACTGTGCCTCCAGTGAGTCATCATGTGCAAGGAGAGAGCTAAGGCTTAGGAGGAACATTTGCTCATTAATGAGCGGCTGTGAATTAATCAGTGGTAGAAAAATCACTTGGCAGCCTCACGAATCCTCAATGAATAGAAAGGCAGAACTGAAAAACTAACTTTCCTTAAATCCTGTGCTAATAAATGGTTATTAGGATGTGAAATACAGTGCTCCATTCAGACAGGATTCTTCAAATGAAGGGAACAATCTCTCTTTTTCTACACCATTCATCAAGTGCACTACCACAGGTCTGTCCTTCTGGTTTTGGAATTAGTGATAATCCTAAAATTAAAGGAATAGACTCGAACTTTTAAATTTTTTATTTTATTTTATTTGTGTCCAACAAGCCCTTTGAAAAGGAGTTCCTCAGGATAAGCAAGGCAGCTGTGAGCAGGGCTGAGGCAGGGCTGTATAGCCCTTCAAGGTGGCTTACAGAAATCAGAGGTCTGTAGCCACTGTAACAGGCACACACACAAAATGCACAGAAGCCCATGGATGAAAGCAGCTTTGGTCCAAGAAGCAAACTAACTGGTCCAGGACACTCAACAGTTGCACAAAACTTCTGTCTCAGAAGAGAGAGAGGGGCAGAGCCACAACAACAAAGACGATGGAACACACAGTCACTGCAGTTCTGCCTCTTAGATGCAGTGGTGGAGCTTGAAGCCCATGGCATCCCTGAGATCTGGTTTCTCACACCCACACTGACCTCGGCAAAGAAGCACCACGGCTCGTGCCAAGCAGGGCTGTGGAGCCTCTGGGCAGCACCTCCTGCCTCTAGTCACTGATGACCCACTGTCATCAAAAGAGCAAAGGATGGACAGAGGCTGCCAGGTCAGGAGAGTGGTTCACCACAAGCAGTTCAGTGGGGGCATCCTTTAGCCCTGAGGATACTTCAACTCTTGCAATAAATTGTTTTATGTGCTAAAATAGGAATCTTATTTAATTTGCATCAACAACTGACTAGCGCAATGCTGCTGGAAAGGATCAAGCATCTGAACCCCTGGCTCACGGGGGGATGAAATTGTGTTTGGCCATAACAGCAAAATGTTCTGGCCAGGTTGCAAAATGTTCCTACCAGGTTACTATGAAGAAAAATGTCTTTTTGAGTCCTTCTTTGAGTAATGTTTTTACAGCAGACGCTCATCTAACCACACTTTTGTGAGGCATTACTTTGTTTCTAGTGTGGTTTCCTTCCTTCTATCCTTATAACTCTACTGTAATTACAGCACCTCTTGGTTGCCAAGTAGAGAAACTTTCAGAATGTGTGCCCTAAAAATATCGAATGCTGCTGAGGTTATATTAATTTAAAAGGCAGAGTCCTCCCTCTTTTTTTTTTTTTTTTTGGGTGTGCTTTCTTGTTTTTTCTACTGGTTGGGTGACTTTCCATTTCTCTCCGTAGGGAACCTCATCCCAATTATCAGCATCTCTCAGTGTCCTTTCTCACTGCCTACTAAATAATCTTGCCTACTAAAATCACATGTTAAGAAAAATAACTCAGATTAATTTCCATGGTGAGCCCTGACTTCAGCCAGCCCAACAGATTTGCATCTTGTCTGCTCACTGGCACATCTCA